GGTCTTTATAATTACCGTCTTTATAGTTGGGTTTCTGAATGGACGTCCAACTTGTTGATTCCCGGCGCTAGAATCTGAGCAACCCACTGCGCCGGCCAAAACAGCGGTGTTATGATTGATGATGCTTTTCTGACTCTGCACCAAGAACTGCCACTCCAAGGCAGCGGCAAAACCACCTCACCGGCCTCAAGAGTCGTGCTGGCGACACGTGGGGCTCCTCCGCTGGGAATCTCCTGGTGCCTGAGCAACAAAAAATTGATCTGAAAGTGTGGCGTCCTCTCGTTCTCTGCTCTTTCAGTGGGAGCTACAATCCCGAGCTGCTAGTGATCAGCCATCCTGGATCTCTCTCCCGAGAACAGGTTGAGGCCAGCCCTTTCTGTGGTTGGATTTTTCTCTCTCTATTTTCCCTGGAGCTAATTCATAGATGGCTCCAACTCTCATTAGATGTTTGTCCTCTGTAGCCAGGAGGGTGGAGAACAGTACAGGGGCATACGAAATGCCAACTTCCTCCTTTGTCCTAAGATTCCACCACCCCACCTCACTCATGAACCCGCTTATGCTCCAGCCAAGAAAAGCTAATGAACCCCCTTATGCTCCAGCCAGGAAAAGCATAAGGAGGAACTCCTTTTGCTCCAATGCGACACATACGTCCTGTCAAGGCACCTCCCTCCCCAGCTATGGGTCCTCTTACTTAGAGGAAGACTTCCCACTCTCATCATTACCCCATTACCGTCCTCTCCTGGGGACCCCTGAGCTCTTTGGCATACTAACCTGTTCTTTTTTCTTTCTTTCTTTCCTTTTTTTAAGAGACAGGTTTTCACCATGTTGGCCAGGTTGGTCTTAAACTGCTGACCTCAGGTGATCCACCCACCTCGGCCTCCCAAAGTGCTGGGATTACAAGTGTGAGCCACTGCACCCAGCCAATACTGACCTATTCTAGCAGCTCCCATCATTTAGAAACAACTGTCCTGACCCCACACCCACTCATTTCATGATCAAACTCACTCTTTTAGCATCTGTCTACATGTGCATCTTCACTACCCTAGAGGAGGAAGAAATTCCTTTTCCCGCCAGGTTCTTCAGCTGGGCCCTGCAAATTAGACAGACAAAAGATAGCTGAATGAGAGAAAAACAAACAGAAGTTTATTAACATGTGCACAGTGCAGACCCACCAAACTCAAAGATGAGTAACCAAAAGGAGCGCTTATTTAGCATCTTTTTTTTTTTTTTTTTTGAGATGGAGTCACTAGGCTAGAGTGCAGTGGCTCAATCTTGACTCACTGCAAACTCCGCCTCCCGGGTTCAAGCGATTCTCCTGCCTCAGCCTCCTGAGTAGCTGGGACTACAGGCGTGCACCACCATGCCCAGCTAATTTTTGTATTTTTAGTACAGACGGGGTTTCGCCATGTTAGCTAGGATAGTGTCGATCTCTTGATCTAGTGTTCCACCCACCTCAGCTTCCCAAAGTGCTGGGATTACAGGCATGAGCCACCTCGCCTGGCCGGGCTGGTTATGTAGAATCTTTTTTTTTTTTTTGAGACAGAGTTTTTGCTCTTGTTGCCCAGGCTGGAGTGCAGTGGCTAGATCTCGGCTCACTGCAACCTCCGCCTCCTGGGTTCAAGCGATTCTCCTGCCTCAGCCTCCCCAGTAGGTGGGACTACAGGCACGCACCACCACATCCAGCTAATTTTTGTATTTTTAGTAAAGACAGGGTTTCACCATGTTGGCTAGGATGGTCTCGATCTCTTGACCTCGTGATCCAGCCGCCTCGGCCTCCCAAAGGGCTGGGATTACAAGCATGAGCCACCGCACCCGGCCGGTTATGTAGCATCTTAACAAAGAGCAGTACACCAGCAGAGAAGTGACAAGGCTGAGGCCAAGGACTGAGTTTTCTGGAGCTGCAAATTATGGAAAGGCAAATGCATGGGGAGACTAATGAGAGGATATGGGCGGTTGGCAAGGCTTGCTGCGTGGGTTCCTCTGTGCTGTCTCCAGGCTGCCGAGAGTCTGAAGCCGTCTCCTTCGATTAACAATAAACTTCTGTCCTTCCTGCTTGAGAGGAGAGGAGGGCACCTTTACCAATTTCTGTCTTTCTTTTATTGAAATAGGGGGAGGAGAGGGAGCTTTTCTTCTGTCTGCTATTTCTCAATTGCCTTCGGTCCAAAAGAGTCCTTATGACAAAGTGGCATATTTTGGGGTGTCATATAATGCCACCCCTCACTTCTCTAACAAACTCTTCAATTAGGCTTCCGGCTCCACCACTCCACCGAAACCACTCCTCTCTCCAGCCTGCCTGTGGCAAATTCAGTGAATGCCTCAGCCTCCTTATCACATTGAACCCAGGCAACCCTCCTCTGCTTTGAAACCTTCTGGCCATCTGGCTCCTCTCTCTCCTCCTCTGTCGGCTTTGCTGCTGCCCTGGACAGCCGACTTCTCCACTCTGCTGCAAGGCATCGCTGTACCAGAGCCCTGGGCGTCGGCATGTGGGATGAGGTGCCTGTTTGATGACAGCATTTAAGCTCCCTTCACTCTTCCCCTCTGTCCCACATCTGGACAAGCTACTGTGGGGACCCACTAGGAACACTACAGTTGGCATAAAGACTATTTTATGCTGAAGACATTTGAGAGTCAACAGATGCAGAAAGAAGCTAGAGCACTCCTTATCTGACTAAGAGCAGAAACTTTAAAACCGAGGCTGCCATAAACTCCCCTGAGGTAGTTTCTACTCCCAGGAAGAAAACTGAGAGTAGTCCCATCATCAATCCCCTCTTCAGGGAAGTTTCATGGCCATGAGGAGGATGGGAAAGACCACTCAAACCTGCATAAACAAACATTATTATTATTATTATTTGAGACAGAGTTTCGCCCTTGTTGCTGAGGCTGGAGTGCAATGGCACGATCTCAGCTCACCACAACCTCCGCCTCCTGGGTTCAAGCAACTCTCCTGCTTCAGCCTCCTGAGTAGATGGGACTTTAAGTTTGTGCTACCATGCCTGGCTAATTTCTGTATTTTTAGTAGAGATGGGTTTCCACCATGTTGGCCAGGCTGGTCTTAAACTCCTGACCTCAAGTGATCTGCCCACCTCAGCCTCCCAAAGTGCTGGGATCACAGGCATGAGCCACCATGCCCAGCCTACACTATGGACTTTACATAACACCTATCTGCTCCCAAATTCAAAATCAACCCAGAATCCTCCCACAAACTCCAAACCCAAATTTCTGCCCCTTACCATTTCCATACCTGCGGCATCTCAAAGCTTAAATTGAAACAGAATTCTTCACTTGCCCTCTGCCTCAATCCTAGTAAATTCACCCAATTTCAGACCAAAGCCCAAGAATTCGTCTTTGTTTCTCCCTTCTCTTCATGCACCACATCCAGTTCTTGAGCAAGCAACCTCCATGTGGCCTTTGTGCGTGTTCCCTTTTCCACTCAGCTCCAGGCCACCGTCACCTCCTGTTTGACGGCTAGAGCTTCTGCTCCACTCCTGCCCCTCCGTGGGGTGCAGCCCTGGAGACGGAGAAAATGTAAGCAAGATATAGATTAGGCCCATGGTGTATAGCAGATCTAATCTAGTATAACAATCTGTATATTAAAATATAAGAATCTATGTCCTGTGAGAATATCTACAGTACTGTGACGATCCAGATGTAATCCTAGATTAGCTGCGCTCCCTGCACGCTGCACCTGCCACTGGAATGGAATCCCAGGAGGCTGCCTGACTCCTCACCTGGTCTCTGCCTGAGCTGGGCTGGCGTCTAGTTCCACCTTCAGCCCATCCTACCTTGAGGCCTTAGTGCGGGAGGCTTCCTCCTCCTCACAGTCTTAAAACTCAGCGTACCTGCCCCTCCTCAAACACGCTCCCCTCACCCTCCCGTCTCAAGCTTAAAGCCCCGCGTCTGAATCACCTCGTTTCCTGAGCCCTGATGACCTTCGCTCTTCCCTAGGTGTCCCCTGTCCCTGGACCACTTTCCCGAGACGCCACACAGGACCTCTCCGAGCTGTGTCTACACTTGCTTATCACGAAAGGAAATGCTAGTGTTCCAATTCCTAGCACAGAGGTAGGAATTGGCACCAAGTAATTATTTCTCGAACTCATGGATGATTAAATGAATGAATAAATTAGTTAATCTCATGACCTAGAACGGGGCTCTGAAAGCCACCAGTTCTGGATATGTGAATTTAAAAAAGAAAATATTTAGGCCAGGCAGAGTGATTCATACCTGTAATCCCAGCACTTTGGGAGGCCGAGTCGGCAAATCACCAGCAATCATGAGTTCGACACCTGCCTGGCCAACGTGGTGAGACCTCGTGTCTACTAAAAATACAAAAATTAGCCGGGCATGGTGGCTGGCACCTGTAGTCCCAGCTACTCAGGAGGCTGAGGCAGGAGAATCCCTTGAACCCGGGGAAGTGAAGGTTGCAGTGAGCAGAGATCACACCACTGTATGCCAGCCTGGAGGTCAGAGCAAGGCTCCATCTGAAATAAATATATAAGAAAATATTTAAATACAAACTTACAGAGAGCAGAAGAAAATAAAGATATTCATTTTCTAGGTGGGAAAAAATGTTTCAGCTTAATATAAATGGAAAAAATTACACAGTAGAATGTTCATATTGTAGACTGCATTGAAAATGTAAAAAAAGTCAAATTAAAAACAATTTTATGTTTAAAATTAAATATGACAATGAGGGAGTGGGTAGCAAACGTAAGAGGTTATAACCTTAATATTAATGATTTGTGCACACTGGTTAAGGCAAACACGATCCTGTAGTTCAGTGAGGGCAGAAAACGTAAGCAAACTATTTAAAAAAGAAAATTAATTCAAGGGAAACTACAGTCAACCATACTATAAATCAAAATGCAAATTAAAACAATAATAATTTCCATCTTAGGTATGGAATTTGAAAAGGGTTACATATATTATTATCCATATTCAATGGCTAGACTGCGATGAACCTGCTAAAGGGAAGATAATTTGGTATAATTTTGTGATTAAAAGAAAAGGCCTTCGAAAGATGCAATGATCATTAACCCATTAATCCTACTTCTCCGAATTGATCCTTAAATAATCCGAAAAGACAGAAAAGATTAATGCAAAAAATTTTATCTCTATCACTTAAACAATTTAAGAATTAGTTCGTGTCCTTTGTAGGGACATGGATGAACCTGGAAACCATCATTCTCAGCAAACTGACACAAGAGGAGAAAATCAAACACCGCATGTTCTCACTCATAGGCGGGTGTTGAACAATGAGAACACATGGACACAGGGAGGGGAGCACTACACACTGGGGTCTGTTGGGGGGAAATGGGGGAGGGACGGGCGGTGGGGAGGAGGGGAGAGATAACATGGGGAGAAATGCCAGATATAGGTGAAGCGGAGGAAGGCAGCAAATCACACTGCCACGTGTGTATCTATGCAACAATCCTGCAAGTTCTTCACATGTACCCCAAAACCTAAAATGCAATTAAAATAAATAAATAAATAAATAAATAAAAAAGAAACAATTTAAGATATTATTAGAGTAATAGTTGAGTCAAATTAGTTCATTTATACGACGGACTGTAATATAACCATTAAAACATTTATAAAACCTGTATAAAAGCATGAGAAAAATCCTATGATATAAAGCAAAAAAGAAAAAATATGAGCTTATGCACACACAGACAGACACACACACACACACACACATACATACATGCACGGCTGCATATTAAAATTTAGGTGAAATGTATACAAACAGTGAGAAAGAAACACTGAGGGCCTTATCTAAGTATGTATAATTCCTGGTAACCCTGCAGTTTACAAATAAAGTAAATTATAATGTCATAAATACCTGTGCATTGGCTACATTCAAAATCAGTCCATTCATGGCCGGCACAGTGGCTCACGCCTGTAATCCCAGCACTTTGGGAGGCTGAGGTGGGTGGATCACTTGAGATCAGGGGTTCGAGGCCAGCATGACCAATGTGGTGAAACCCCGTCTCTACTAAAACAAAAAACAAAAAAACAAAAATTAGTCAGATGTGGTGGCAGGCGCCTGTAATCTCAGCTACTCAGGAGGCTGAGGCAGGAGAATCACTTGAACCCAGAAGGCAGAGGTTGCAGTAAGCCAAGATCGCACCACTGCAGTCCAGCCTGGGAGACAGAGGAAGGCCCTCTCTCAAAAACAAACAAAATCAATCCATTCAAAATCCCTCATGTCTGAACCCTTCTGTTTATTCCCAAGTCACTCCCACTTACTCAGCTCTTGTCTCTGACTAATTTCAGGGGCTGTGGGCATCCAATGAAACAATGCAATTATAAAGTACACCAATTATTAAGTTAAAATTGGAAATGAGGCTGGGCACGGTGGCATGCACCTGTCGACTCAGCTACTTGGGAGGCTGAAGCAGGAGGATTGCTGGAGCCCAGGGGTTTGAGTCCAGCCTGAGCAACATAATGAGACAGCACCTCTAAAAAAAATTTTAAAAACAAAAACCTGGAAATCATAAATGTGATGCTTCATTTCTCACATTGAAATGCTGCTCAAATTAGAATAAAGTTTCCCAACTCTATCGTTGGGAAACGATAGAGTTCCCTCCACCTCAAAAAGGATCATTTAACAATTAAAGAGAAGATAATAAAGAGAAATGAAAATGATATGAGTCTCAGTAGGAGAAGTTTATTAAAAGTTGACCTATTTATTGTTTTAACTAAGACTTTGAAGGCTACGCAGTCAAATTTGAAAATAGAATGAAAAAATGCCCTCAGTCAAGTTTACGGAGAATGCTTTGTGTGTCTAGCAAGGTGGGCCTCTGGCGAAGCTGGACCAGAAATAATACAGTGAAAAGCAACCAAGAGCCCACTTGGGGTCAGCTGTAGGTTCCCGGAGTGATATGTTGAGGAACCTGGGCTTTGTTCTCTATTCAAGGAAGTGTCAAAGGCCATTTAACAAGAGCACAATGCCCTCAGATCTGTGGTTTAGGAGGGAAGCCTGGGGTTGCAGGAAGGGGGACAAGAGGAAGTGCCTGCAGGTAAGAAAGCCGCAGAGAAGAACTACGTCTTTTAAGTTTCCTTGGTCTCCCTGACATGAGGGCCAGAGGATTCCTAAGCACAACTCTCTGGACTAGATTTCTGCCAATGGCCCCTGGAAAAAGCTCATTCTAGTTCATTCCGCCTAGCATTCTGCCTCGCAGTGGTAACTGGATCATCAGTGGCCACCACGACTGCCCACAGAAGCTGGTTGCCAGGGAAACAGCCTAGCACTTGCTTCTTAATTCCTGGCTTCAGTGTAACTGTTGAGCTGAAGTCACCCCAAATTATGAATGGTAGCAATGAATGAGGTGGTCTACCTCAAACAGCCGGGGACGTCATGACCCAGAAACAAAGGTCAGGAAGGAGCCAGGGGGCCAGAACCCCTGCATCCCTGCTCCGCTGTTCTTCCCGGAGGATGAACTGACACACTTGGTTGGAAAAGCCTTCCAGAAGAGAGCCTACCTTCCTTAGGGTATGGCTGAATGATCAATCAATTCCAGGAGTATCCAGCTTGGATATGATTTGAAAGAAACTCACCTGTCATTTCATGTTAACACAGCAATTATGATACTAGATGTATGTGGAGACAAACACATACACACACATACTGAGACAGAGAGAGAAAGAGATTATTTGGTATAATTTTGTGATTAAAAGAAAATGCCTTAGAATGATGTGATGATCATTAACCCATTAATCCTACTTCTCTGAATTGATCCTTAAATAATTTGAAAAGACAGAAAAGATTAATCAACCTCAGTGAGAGTATAAACCTAAAGAGAGAGAGAGAGAGAGCACAGCCCAGGCAGCATATGCAGTATACATCAAAGCATGGTCAATGATCAGTAGTTATCTATAGATTAAAGCTGATTTTTACTTTCTTGCTTGTCTACTATTTCTCTACATTTTTACATGACCATGCATGACTTTTGCAATAAGAAAAATATAAAAAGTTTATTTTCATTTAACTAAAAAAGGAGAGTTGTCTGGCCATGAGCTCACGCCTTTCAAGTGCCTGCTCAGAGGATGACTGAAGAGTCAGGAGTTTCAGAGGGGACCACTATCAGCAGGGGAGTTTTGTAGCTCAAACGGTCCACTACAACACCTGGCTGATTTTTGTATTTTTAGTAGAGACGGGATTTCACCATCTTGGTCAGACTGGTCTTGAACTCCAGACCTCATGATCCACCCACCTCGGCCTCTCAAAGTGCTGGGATTACAGGCATGAGCCACCACACCCAACCAACACCCAGGATTTCTATATCCAGCCAAACTATCTATCAAAAAGTGTAGAATAATGACATTTTCAGACATGCAACATGGCATGCACCCTTCTTCCAGAACCTATTGAAGAATACACTCAACCTCAGTGAGAGTTTAAACCAGGAAACAAGAGATGCAGCAATGGATAGCAGAAAAGGGGATCCCCAAGATGATGGCAGGGGATGTCTCAGGGCAGGGACAGAGCCCCAGCGTAGAGGGCAGCCAGTCCAACCAGATTGGACCATCATGACCAAGAGAAGGAGAGATATCATCACCAGAATCCCTGCTGCTGTTTTGTTATCCTTTTAACCTGAGAATTAATCATGTTAGCTTGCCTCAGATTATTTTCTACATGGGATTTGTTTTGATCATGAGACTTCTGACAGCCCTTCCCTGTCTGCCTGAGTACTTTCATTTCATCCCACAACATGATTCACTTTGATGTTTGCCTAAAAGCTGGGTATAAACCACACTAAGCTTAGAAAAGCAAAATTTAGAGCAGCCCAATTTCTCTGATCATATTCCTGCCAGATATGCAAGTCCTAGCCCTGTCACAGATGGCCCAAATGGAGTGAGACCCCTGTTTCCCAGGACTCTCTTATGACCTCACCCCAAACTAAAGCCAGATTATATCCCAGAAATTCTCAACAGCTTCTTTTCCGCTGAAAATTTTTATCTAAGAACAACAACATTGATCTTTGCGTAGATGGCTAGTTTTGTGCTTGCTACCCAGATTTCAAAGCTAAACTATATATATATATATATATATATTTTTTTTTTTTCCTGCTGCATACACAAATGGTAGAATAACGTACTGGGGTTAGGACTTCAACACGTGAATTTTGGGAGGAGGTAACTGTGGGAAGTAGAAAAATTCCTTTTTAAAGTTTCCTTTCTTGTTAAAGAATAAGTGTGCTAATAACTCTTTGTTAAGCCCTTTCCTATGCAGCTGTTAAACATACCATGCTTATGAGCGCATAGTACATTCTATGTCCGTGTATTTTAACCAAGAATTCTGTGCTGGACGTGCTCACAGGCATGTCACAGCTCCCCATTGCTTTTATCTGTTTAGAAAAGTTTGAAGTTGTTAGCCAATCGGGTTTTAGTTTAGATTGTGAGGTCTGGCTCCAGCCAATGGAGATCAGACACAGCAGTAAGGATGACCCCAAATGAGTAAGGAATCAATTTGTGTGTTTTCCTTCGTTCATTGTACTCCTGTGGCACAATGGCTAGTGAGGGTATCCTTCCTGCAGTCCAGGAAGTAAAAATTGCGTGGCTGAAAGCTCCTTTGTCTCAGTACTAATTCTTCTTTGCAGCACCAAGAATGTATTTCCAACATCTATCTCCAATAGTAATTCAGCCCATAACAGTATTATTATTTTTGATTATTATTTTTTTTTTGAGACAGAGTCTTGCTGGAGTGCTGTGGTGTGATCTCGGCTCACTTCAACCTCTGCCTACTGGATTCAAGTGATCCTCCTGCCTCAGCCTCCTGAGTAGCTGGGATTACAGGCATGTACCACCATACCCAGCTAATTTTTGTATTTTTAGTAGAGATAGGATTTTGTCATGTTGACCAGGATGGTCTCAATCTCCTGACCCCATGATCCACCCACCTTGGCTTCCCAAAGTGCTGGGATTACAGGTGTGAACCACTGCGCCCAGCCTATTTTCAAATTTTTATAATAAAAGTACTAAAGAGGCCAGGCATGGTGGCTCATGCCTGTAATTGCAGCACTTTGGGAGGCCGAGGCTGAGATCAGGTCTTCAAGACCAGCCTGGCCAACGTGGTGAAACCCTCCTTCTACTAAAAATACAAAAATCGGCTGGGTGTGGTGGTGGGTGCCTGTAATCCAAGCTACTCGGATGGCTGAGATAGGAGAATCGCTTGAACCTGGGAGGCAGAGGTTGCTGTGAGCCAAGATTGCACCACTGTGCTCCAGCCTGGATGACAGAAAAAGACTCTGTTGCCCAAAGAAGAAAAAAAAAGCATTAAAGAAGCAATAAAAATTTTAATGAGCAAAAGAAAAAATATATCACAATTGAAATTTTAAAGTGATAGAGATTTCCTGAAAACAAAAACTTACATGACCACAGTACAATTATCAAAACCAGAAATTAACAAATCACAGAACATCATCGAATATTGTCAACTACCACAATAATCTCTTATGGCTCTCTTTTTTTCCCTGGACTATGATCAAATCCAGGATTGCCTTTAGTTTCACGTCCTTTTAGTCTCCATTAATCTGGAACTGTTCCTCAGCCTTTGACTTTCATGACCTTGACATTTTATTAAAATTAAAATCAAATTTTGAGGTTATGAAAGTTGCAGTGAGCTATGATCTCACCACCATGCTCCAGCCTGGGTTCTGGAGTGAGACCCCAACTCTAAAATAGCAATCATAGAGTTACTCACCAAACTTTCTCTCAGTAGTTTCAGCATCCATTAATGGATTTCCTAATTCCATCATTTCTTCTATATTTCTAGTAGGCATTCCATAGTTTTACTAAGTTATAATCCATTCTTGTCATTAATTATTCTAATGTTCAATCATTCCAAATTTGGCTTTGATGTCCTTTTGATATGTCTCCATTGTTCTTTAAAGACACAGAACTGGCTGGGCATGGTGGCTCATGCCTGTAATCCTAG